AGAAAAGGTGGCGGAACTCAAACCTGGCCACGCCCTCATCAAACCCTAGGACCGCCCCTTTAGAGAACAGGAATGCAAGTAAAATTTGGGAGGGGCTATTTCCGGTGTGGGAGGGGCTATTTCCGGTGCGGCCGGCCCGGAAAAAGGTGCCGGAACGCGGTTCCGCCGCGTTCCGGCTGAAAAAAAGCCCTGACTACAAGTAATCTTCAACCTACAGCCATTCATTTAGCAACCATTACAACCAGTCCTTGCACTTTATACTGTTATAGAAGACCCACCAATTTTCTCTTTGTATACATATAGCAGCACTACCAGCAAATCAGTGATGCCATGATCCATGAGGTTATTTTAAATGTGTCCCCCAATGTTATTTTTTCTTCCATTCAATTATCCCTGAGGTTTTCTTAGCAAGGGTTTTCAGAAGTGTTTTGCCATTGTCTCCTTCTTAGGGCTGAAAGAAAGTGACTGGCCCAAATTTACCTGGCAGGCTTTGTGCTGAAGTTAGGAGTAAAACTCAGGATCTCTTGGTTTCTAGCCTGCTGCCTTAACCACTTCACCAAAGTAGTTCCCAATGTGGATATTAATAATAACCAAAACATTGAAAAAGCAATTGTATAATGATTGTAGTCACTGTGATCTCCGGATGTGAATCAACCATTGAAGGAAAGGTTGCCCCTGAATTGCCTGCTAGGTTAGAACCAAAGTTCTTGGCCCTCTCTATTTCTTGGAACTAAGGCAAATTTACGCCCTTCTCAAAGGATTTTACTGATCAATCACAGTGGGGATTAATCTGTAGCAATTAATGGAAATATTATAGTAAAATAATGTCAGGTCAATGCTTTTGTTCTGCTTCAAGAGAACAGGATCTGCTCCAGATGTCCACTTTGGATACTTTACAGTGCTCTACTCCTCACTATATTTAGTAGGAAACTAGTAATGTTTTTTCTCAAAACAAGACCTTGAACTGCTTCAGATGTAACATATGACAAATTAAACTTCCAGGAACCCAGAACTGTATCTGCTTTTCTGGATTTGTAATCTTGGCTTCCTATCACTATCAGCTGTTGCTGCCTGTGAGATTGCAGTCTTGTAAAGTGAACTAATGTTGCCCCCCCCCCCCCAAATTATTTAGGAATTGACACATTGTCTTTTCTGGGCAGAAATGTCACATTTTTGTCTGAGCCTTCTCTCAAGGTAAGTGGATATTTACAGCACCAAAAGAGGAAACTTTTGGAGTCTGTCCTTGAGACAAGAGAGTGTCCTCCCTAGATTCACCCTACAGCCACTTTTCTTAATGCTGTCCACGCAATGTAACTCATTCTTAGGCTTGCAAAGGGAAAAGGAGGACTTATTTCTGCCATTAGTGGTTCATTTAGGCAACAAGACCTTCTTTGGATACTCCTGGAGGGCTTTTGCACTAAGCAGCAGCAGCTTTCATACAAAAGACTCGTCCAAGATTAAATTATGGTTCATCCTGAACAGTGTTCCCATCACTAACCAGCTCTATGGCCTGAGCTTACTGCTCAAGGTGGTATACGCAGGACACTGCCTCCCCTCTTTTCCCCACCATCCTTTGAGGCACATGGGACAAGTGAGAATGACTGGCCCAAAAGCCACCCAGGGAGCTCCATGGCTAAGAGTCGATCAGAAGCCAAATCATCCTTGTGCCAATCCAATGCATTAGCCACTACACCACACTTCCTCTACCAGTTCTTGGCTGACTGCCATTACTTTTCAGCCTGCCTTCCAGGTGGCTGTGAGGATATAATGATATAGATCAAGTCCCAATGGAGAGCACTGAAGAAAGGCAGCATAAATATATAGTAGTACATAAAAAAATAGGAGCCCTCATCCAACCATGGTAAAAAAAAAAAATCACATTCTATTCTAGGTCATAAAAGTTTATTAGACTCAAAGGCAAAATGAATGCGTGCTCCTCTTTTCATTAGAGATGCTACAAAAAGTTGAAAATAGAGGAGTGGAGGGTGCAGAAAATTTTGATAGATTTTGATACAAGGTCAAGCCCTAGAAAAGAAAATGTGGGAGAACGGTGCAGCTAATCAAATTCATATTTATTTATTTATTTATAAAATGTATTTGCCATTCATTTTGTATCCAACAACTCTGGGTAGCTTACGACATAAAAAAAAACCATTGAAAAACGTTAAAATCATCCATTGTAAAAAATACAACAGATAAGAACATTCACAGATAAAATCATGGACACAAGATGGCAAAGAGGGGAGCCAGCCACATGTGGGTGAGGAGGTGGCGTTGAATTTTTATTAGTCAACCACCTTCAGTATGAAGCCTCTCCCATTGGGTCCCCAAGCCATCTGACAGAGCCAGACCGTAAGGTTCTCAGGTGGGTGTGAGCCAATCTCACTTCAGGGGTTAAGATGTTCCAGAAGGAAGGAGCCATGGCAGAAAAGGCTCTTCTCTTGGATGCCACCAGCCAAAATTCCTTGACTGACAGGATCCACAGTATATACTAGAGGACAGGACTAGGCTGAAAAAACAGGGAACTGATCTTCCTCTTTAAAAAAAAAAAAGCGGGGGGGGGAATAATCCATCTGATTCTACCTTATAGCAAAACCCAAATTTTGTGGCAAGTGAAAAAATAGGAGAAAGAAAATGACTGGAAATCGTTTTTAGTGGTTGCATTAAGAAAAACAAAGTCAGACAGAACTAATTCCCTGGGTAGCTAGAGGGAGTGGCTCCACTGAGAATACACTCTCAGCTTCCTTGCCTATATCCATACATGGCTGTTAATCACAAAGCAAAGACTTCTGAACATTTATGGACCGAGTGATTAAATGCCTATAACATCATAACACTGCAAATCTGAACTGGCTGCTCTTTTTTCACGCCAGCCCATGGCTTCCTTCTCCAGGGAGCATTTGACTGCTTCTCGGTTGTCTTTTTGACTCAGCTGCTGGCAGGGATCACCATAGCTGCAATTAACTGAGACTCCAGACTTTTTGATAGCCTCTTGGCAATCCTTCTCATAGCCACCATAGGCCAAGGTCACTGCTCAATAAACAGTGACATCTGCTCCGTTGTACTTTCATGGACTTATTGCTTTATTGTTTGAAATGAAGCCATTGGCAGGGAGAATGTAATTACTGTGTGCAAATGGAGCACTTCTCATGAATAAAACAAGTACCAGTTTAGTTAAGGCATCATGCTAAAAATCAGGAGACTCTGAGTTTTAGTCCTGCCTCGGGCATGAGAAACCAGCTGGCTTTGGGACAATCACTCACTTTCACCCCAAACCACCTCATAGGGTTGTTGGCATGGAGAAAATTGGAGGAAGTTATGTTGGATTTGTTAGCTGTCTTGAGATATTTGCAAATAATAATAAAGGTGGGATAAAAATCAAATAAAAGCCATGATCCTGATTTAAGATGTCCAAATTTGGATAGATAAATTGTGGGATGTGTTTCAAGTCATTGAATAAAGTAAGTATGGAAGACTGATGATAAAAAGGCTCCATTTTCCAAAATACTGAATTTAGGGACAGAGTAAAGGATTTATTAGTATTTAATTTTCTTAAGGTTTTTTGTTGTATGTCTGCTCCTTCCAGGCTCATAGAAACTTAAAATAGATTCCAGTATTAATACTGAGCCACAAACTATAATTTGCAATATAAGCTTTTTTTCCCAGCAGAGAAAGGTCATTTTAGAATACAGATATATAGTAAAAAATTACTGAACAGACTTTGAGGTTCTAAAATCACAGGAATTTTTTAAAAATTTCAGAGCCATGAAAATGCATCTAAAAACAATTAAGAATAGAAAGACGTAACTTCTTTTTTAATACAAATGAAATATTGATTTTTTTTGTGTTGGTGCTACCCATTTTGGAAAATAAATGCAATACTTAAAAGCTAAACATATTCCTCAGCCAGAAAGAAGCCTTGCATACCAAGTTAAAAGGATAGGTGGGGTACAGGTATCTGTTCCTATACTAAAATTGGAAATCTAGAACAAATATTGCCTTTCATACAAGCAACATTGCACATAAGGGATGAACTTTGCCTCATGATGCTGCAATACATTTCTCTCCCACTCTTTCACGCACCTGCATGCATGCAACAAGTTACCTAGGATTAGGGTTATGTCATTTCTGGTGAGATATTTTCCCTTGTAAGCAATATTTCCCATAATCGTTGGAATTACTCTATTCAGAACTTTAAAGATGGCAACCTGAAGAACCCAAAACTTTGGAGAGGAACGGCCTACTGTTCCTATGTTGCCCACACTTGGCCTTCACAAAACATCACCTGGATTCATTGTACCATCTTTATCAACTTCAGCATATGTATTCTTGCTTTGCTAAGGCTGCCTGCCTTAAGAGTCTCTTCTAAATTTTAAATATTCCAGTATTTTTAAGGACCTAAGCCAAAAAATAAAAATGTGTACCTAATCACAAGAATTGGCTGAATTTGCTATGTACAAACCTTATGTGAGAACTTAGTAAATTACTTGTTTAATGGATAACCAGGTTTAGATTGTTTCTTCAAAGGATCTTTATCTTATTCTGAAAAATAAATTCTTTACTAAAAATTGGAAAGTAACACAAATATTTAAAACAACAACAACATTGCATGCCGCTCTTACTCTGCCTTTTTATAATGTCATCACAATGATGAATTCTCCATCATCATTCTTGCCTTAAACAGTAGGTACTCCACTGCTGTCCACCATTTAAGATTGGCAGAATTCTAGACATGTTATTTGACAGCCAGGAAACAGTTTTGCAGGATGTTAGCTGACAATTGTAGAATCTATGAAGCAGCGTAAAGCCCTAATTCTCAGCTAACCAGGAAGAACTGGAGCTATGAACCCATCAGAAGCCAGCAGGTCAAAAGGCAAGGAAAGGGCAAAGCTTTCCAGTATCCTTTAGCATTAGATGAAAAATATTTCTCTTGTTAAAGAGGAAAACACTTTTATGATCAGCAAACTTGCCGCTTACAATTCTTTTTTTAAAGAGAATATTCTAGAATGCCTTTTGTGCAGCATGGAAGCCTCAAGTGCATTTTTTTTAAAGGAAAAAACTATTTTAATTTTTTTTTAAAAAAGTGAAAGTAATCTCCTTTCAAATTAATTAAATTCTAAACAAGAGTGATGCCAACATTCCTTTTATTACCTATATCAGTGGTGGCGAACCTATGGCACGGGTGCCAGAGGCGGCACTCAGAGCCCTCTCTGTGGGCACGCACGCGCGCTGTAGCCCGTCCTAGGCCTTCAGCTGGGTTTTATAAAACCTTTTCGCTTTAGGCCTCCGCCACCGTGTACAAAAAAAGGTTCAACCAATCAGTCAATTTCAACTTGCGGGGAAAAAAAAAAAAGATCTTACAAAGTTGGAATTGACTGAACTTTTTAGTCCCACCCAGTCTGCTGTTACCACCGCAGCCACGCCCACCCAATGGGCCACACCCACCCGAGGATGCATAAGTGAGTTTTGGGTTGCAGTTTGAGCACTCGGTCTCTAAAAGGTTCGCCATCACTGACCTATATTTATTGGAAATAAGATTAATTTTGCTATCCTGACAATTGTCCTCTAAAACATATTTGATCAAGTTCTCATTTATTCCTTTGCCTATTAATTTGAAAAACTTACACAAAGAGGCTGGACAACCTTTCAGAACAAAACGACTCCCCCCACCCCTTTGGCAAGAGAGTCATTCCCTCCTCTCTCTTCCAAGAGTTGCTTCTGTTGTTTGCCAGGTGCTATTTGGTATTTAGTCCGCTCCGTCCCGTGAAAATACATGGCAAATACGTGGCCAGGGCAGAGAAAATGTGAAGCTCCGCTATTCGTAACGTTATACGGTTTCGAAATCCGTTTCGGCCCCTTTCATTTAGCATGATAGGCTGCTCAACCCTTACGGTTGCCGGACTCGGGCAACGCTCATGAGCCCAGCCACTGTGCTTTTTTCAGCAATCCAATTTTAAGCGTCGCGGCTTGCGGAGCCAGGCATCGTCGCCTCCTCTCGGTCTAACCTACCCCGGCGGAGCAGCACCCTCAGCCTGTCAGAAGACAAGGCAAGCGGCGGCATTCATTGGGGAGCCACCATCAAGCGCCGTCCAGCTCCAGCTCCAGCTCCTCGGATGAGTGTTGGGGCAATTGCTACCTGCGGGATGAACCTCCGCCTGGCAGCAGCTGAGGGAGTCGGCCGCTAGAAGGCGCTGCTCTGGCGGCTACGGCCCATCAGCCTGCGCGTCGGACCAGCTGCCTTTCATAGGCTCCTGTCGGGGAGTCCCTCCTCCCCTCCCACCCACCTTCTCCCCGTGATGGCGGAGGACAGTGAGTCTGCCGCCAGTCAGCAAAGCCTCGAGCTGGACGATCAGGACACCTGCGGCATCGACGGCGACAATGAGGAGGAGACGGAGCACTCCAAAGGGTAGGAGCCGCCGCCGCCCTTCCGGTGCTCCTGCCGTCTCCCCGCCCGGGCTTGCCCAGGAGCTGCAGCGCGTTGCACGAGCGTGCGATCGGCCCGGCCGCGAACTAGCTTGGGAGCAGCCCGCCCCTGCCCTGAGCCGATTTCCTGCGGCAGGGACGGAGGCGGCTGCAGCAAACCAGGAATGGCGATCAGGGATTCCACGGGGTGGCCCTCGCGGCGCAGAGGCCACGGGGGTCACGGTGCACCCTTCCGGGCTGAGGCTGGAGCGCGAGGTGGGAGAGAAGAGCCGCCCCCCTTTGCTGCCGGGGTGGAGAGAGGAGGAGGAGGAAGGCGCCGGGCGGGCAGGCTGTGTTTTCCTGCCGTGGGGAGGCTTAGTGATCGGCGCGTGTCGTTGACACCCGCAGGCTGGCGCAGATGCCGAGACCGAGGCTTTGGCCTGGCGGCTTCCCCCGACGGCTGTCTGCTACGGTTTCCGTGCCGCGCCAGGCTTCCCTTCGCCCGCCCCCCCCCCCACCGCCGCCCTCCTCCTCCTTTCCTTTGTGACCACCTCCCATCCTTCGCACCACTCGCCAGGCGGGCAAGAAGCGCCCGCGTCGTTTCCCCTTCGGGGAGGGGTGGATGGGAGCCGGGCTGGAGTGGCGGGGGCCCTTCCCACTGCCCGGCCCTCTTCGGGGGGCGGCTGGCTCGCTCTCGGGATCCCGNTCCCGGGGGCGGCGGGAGCTCTTTAGATCGATCAGTGCGCATCAGAGGAATGTGGTGTGGGGCAGGGCGAGGTGACTGACGTGCGCCTTCTGCACATGATCTACATTAGCTGGCCCGGGTTTTGGACTTGCAGGTGTCCTCCGTGTGCCCTGCTCTTTGGGACACCTTCTCCGATGAGGCGTCTCGGAGGACCCCAAAGAGTCCGACCGTTTTTGGTGATGTTCTTCTTGCTCTGACCTTTTAACGGATATTTTTCTTTCTGACGGCTTTCTGCTACCATCTCATTCTGCATCTTTTAGGATCTCTCCCCCCCCCCCCCAAAACAGAGCAGAAGAAAAGCATAAATAACTAATAACATCTTTGGGGATGGTGTTATGTGCCTGATTTCACTGTGGGATCCAACTTTAAACTGCTTGGTGAGGTTCAAGCAGATACAGGAGTTCATTTTCCACACACACCCATCCTACAGTGAAAAAGTTTAGAAGACAAAATTTGCAGACAACTTTTTTTTCCACGTTTTGTGTTAAACCCCTGTACATACATAAACATTTAGGATACTTGAGTGATCAGTTCTAGCTGCAAGACTAGGTTATAATTTACCTTACTTGGTTGCTATATAGCAGGGGTGTCAAACTGCCGACCTGCGGGCCGGTTTCATCATACCGGAGCCGCGCCCACCCCATTGCCGGCAATGGTGAAAAAGTTCCGATACGTTGCGCGACGTCACGTGACGTCGTGAGTTTGACATGTCTGCTATATAGGGTCTTGTGTGAATCTACTATTGTAACTTGCAAATTATTGATTAGCATATTATCTAAAATGAAACAGTTATTTAACAAGCCATGTTAAGCAAACCAATATTTAGAACGGGTGTCAAACTGAAGCAAATGGGCAGTGTTTTGCTTTGACTAGGATGTTTTGCAAATTCAGTTATTGTGGTTTAATTGTAAGTCCTACATTTATATGGAAAATAATTGTAGATTTACATGTTGCTATTTAATTTTTAGTATGAGCATAGAAACCTTGATGAGAAAAATCATGTTTCTATATTCAGATACCATACCGAATTATAAATCGTAGACATATTCTTTTATAATTTATTGTGAAGATTTAGTCCTTGATTAGTTCACTATTTGTCATGAAAACTCAGAAAATGGAAATACTTGAGTAAATTGTGGTTAATTCAATCATGGACAATCACATTATTGAAATAATTATCATTCATTTAAGCCAGACATATCAAACACAAGGCCCGGGGGCCAGATGCGGCCCATGAAGTGGTTTCATGTGACCCGCAAAGCCATCCTGGAAACAGTGAGGGAACGGCCCCCGCTGCCTTGGCCTTGGCCCAGGCCGGCCGGGAGCCAATGCACAATTTTGTGGTGGCCATCTATGCTGAAACGCATTCAGTCTTAGCTCCACAAGGCCATCTGGAAACAGCGAGGAACCAGCCGCTGCCGTGTTGGCCCCACCCCCTGGGTGCATGCTGGGGAGGCGTCACCCTTTGTGAGGAATGAAGAAATGCATCATCGCCTGGAAGTGGCCAGCAAATGGCCCTCGCCTACGTCACATATCCAGCTTGATGGGCTCTGGCGGAGGGGTTTCAGGAGGTAGTGAGGCTCCTCCAGTGGACCACGCCTTGGCACTTGCCCCGGTCCCACCCCCTTCTGTCAGAGACCTTAAGATCTGTCTCACTCCTGCCCAGGCCCCCACAGGCACCCTTGACGCGAACAATGTAGAGCTGGCCATGCCCACCCAGTAGGCCACACCCACTCCATCCATGCCCACCCAGTAGGCTGCACCCAACCTGGCCACCCCCCCCCCCCCCCCCCCCCCCCCCCCCCCCCCCCCCCCCCCCCCCCCCCCCACCCCCAAGGGCAACCGCAATGCTGATGCGGCCCTCAATGAAATTGAGTTTGACACCCCTGATTTAGGCTAAGTGCTGTAAAATATGGCTACAATTCTCCAGGATGTCTTCTAGCTCTACTGAGACCTTTTGTATGTAAAGCACGACCTGTCACTGACCCAATCTTGTTTATTCCAGGTGTGTTGGGATCCAACACGTGGTAAGAATAAGAAGTCTAGGAATTGTAGAATGGCACATCTGCTACCTGCTTACAGCCTCCGGGAATAGGCAGCATACCAATGAAATAGATAAAAGAAATAAACAAAGCAGGACTGCACAAATTCTAAAAATATAGGCAAATTGTATTCAGTATGAATGATATGAAGCACTTTAGAAATTGACTATTAATTAAAAAATATCTCATTTTGAAACTTAGAAAACAGTATGACAATTATTTATAGTTTGTTTTTCTTTTTCAAATCAGACCAGTACTTTGATATGTTGTGAGTGTTTTTCTTATTCGCAGAGGCTTGCCCACACCCTGATATCACTTGCGGAAACATCTACAGTAGTATGAGAAATGTTTCTAAAATTAAAAGCATATGTATACAGTACAAGTAATCTGAAGAAGTAGGAAACAAGTTTGATTTGATGCTTAGTCATGGTACTATAAAACAAATTTGCAGAGGTTATACTTTTGCTTTGCTTTTGAAATAAGATTTGATATGATTATATTGCTTTGTATTATATTGAATAATAATAATGGTGCTCTTTGGCTCCTTGTAGCCAATTCCTATGTGAATTACACGCAAAGTACAAAAATGGTCATACTATTGAACAGATACTAGATAGTACCATTTCACTGAAATATAATGTTTTTGTCATATAGGTCAGTAGTCCCCAACCTTTCCAATTCTGCAGACTGGGGCCAGTGGCGGCAGGGGTGGGGGAGAGGGGATGGTTTTGTTCCGCCACTTGCGCATAGTCTCATCTAGTTAGAAGGGACCTTAACCGTCATCGAATCCTTAGAATTCATCCACCTGTTCAGTGTATGGTCTGCTATAGCAGGGCTTTTCAACTGGTGGTATACGTACCAGTGGTGGTATTTTGGCATCTGGCAGGTGGTACGCGATCGTCCTAGAGAAATGGTAGCGGGGGGTGGGGAGGAATGAGCTGAAGCAGTGGCAGTGCTGCACAAGTCTGAGGGAGAGACAGCTGGAGCTCCAGGACTGTCAGGGCAGAAGTCCCAGGATCAGCACCAGGCTCCAGCTGATTGGCACTTCCGAAAGTAGTGCGTAGCTGTAGGTGGACGGAAAAGGAGAGGGAAGGATGTAAATACAGGAGGTTTTGGCAGGAAAGGACCAGTGAGGGGCTGCCCCTGCCTCGCCCCTGGGCACATGCCCAGGGGCCAGTGAGTACCCGGCATCCCTGCTGACCACTCAGAAAGAAAAGAGGCGAGCCCAGGCCGACCAGGTGCTGATTTACAACCTCGTAACTACCATCAAAGCCAGAATGCACTTAGATCCATGGGGCAGCGCTGAAATCAGCGATGGGCCGCCTCGTTGTCTCAGGGCCATCCCTGCCCCCTGGGCGCGTGTGCAGGAGGCAGTGATAGAGCATGCGGGGCCTGGCATCCCTGGGGACCATGCTCTGAGCACTTTGCAGGTTCATTATTTTAAGCTGCCGGAGGCTCCGGGCAAGAGGTTTCCTATTTAGACCCCTCCTGTCTGTTATTGCCTCTGAGTCTGAAGGGCCTTTGCGTGGCTCTCAGCTCATCTCTCCCAGACCTGTGCACATGTTTGTGTGTGTCTGTGTACGTGCGCGTGGGTGTGGGCCTCACTCCTTGCAGCCTCATGACATTGGGGAGGAAAAGAACAGGAGAGATAAGAGAAACTGCGATGAGAGCTTCTTGCAGCCTTTCACAGGGCTGAGGAAGGGAGTTAAGGGGGGCAGGGCACGATATGATTGAGGGCACGTTGAGAGAAAAAAACAAGTACTCCAAAAAACCCAGCTTTCATTAGTTTGCAGCCTGCCATTGCAGAAGGTTTCTGTTGAGGGCACAGGGCTGCAAAGGGTGAAACCCCCACACACGCGTGCACACCCACACACGCTCAAACATGTGCATGGGTCTGGGAGAGGTGAGCTGAGAGCCACACAGAGGCAATGACGGGGAGGGGTCAAAATGGGAAGCCTCTGCCCACCGCTGCCTGCTTTTTGCCAGCTCTGCCTTGAGCCTCTGGCAGCTTAAAAAAAAGGGAGGGAGGGAGGGAGGGAGGGAGGGAGGGAAGGAAGGAAGGAAGGAAAGAAGGGAAAGAGGGAGGGAGGGAGAGGCAACTTGATTGGAAATGCCCCAGTTCAAAGGAGAATGCAATTTTGTGTTCTGTTTTTCACAGACAGAACTTTGTTGCCAATCCAAATTAACTTTGGTATTCTTGAATTGTGAGCTCTTAGG